AGTGGTCTCAGTTTTCTGTATGTTAATCCTCCGAAGGCCAATTTAGTTCCTAATGAAAGCATCCACATGGAGTTTAATGTGCCTTGTCTTATGTCTTCACACCTACAGATTACTCGCCTTAACTTTCCTGAGTGTCCCATGCGGTTAAACTCTAGGGAACTATTCACAGACATTAAAAGCCCCAGTTCAACAAAAAAATTAAGCACATTGATGGCAATGGGCCTTATGCACATTCTTAAATGATTTGCTGTATCAGTGCCTAACTTACTAAAAAAAGTGTTGAAAACAAACCAATATTGTAATTGATCAAGACATTTCAGAGTTGCTGCTGCTGACATAAAATTGTGAAGTATATCTTTTCTCATTAAATTTGTAATCATTTTAAAGAAAAACAAAACAAAACGCATTTCCTTAACTATGTTACTTCCCAGTGAAATCAATAGTAAGAGTTTTGCCTGATGAGTAAAGACTGCAGTATTTGTCCTAGCATTTTAGAATATTAACTCATACATGTTTTAAGAAAAATAAAATTATTTTTTCAGTATTTCTGCTCATTTTCTCTCAGCTTAGATAATGAACACGCAACAGGCCAGTCAATTTCACGTCCAGGTTTTAGTCAAATTTCACTTTCTGGCTCTCAGGCACTAGAACGGTGCTTCCATGTTGGGGCTGAGAACACTGATGTGGGATGCATGCATATTTTGAAATGCCATTTTCACTGGTGTTTTAAAACAATTTAGTTTGGACATTGGTTTATTGGACGTGGGTTTATTACAAGTTTACTTTTACTAAACATAACATGACACTGTGATTTTAACTCACACAATGATCTGACAGTGTTCCTTACAAAAAAAAAAAAAAAAAAACCTTTCAACTTTCAGAAAGTGAAACCTCAGCTCTGTTCACTTGTGATAATTAAAAAGGTACCAAAACATTTCTGTAACAGTAGGGTGGGCTAACACTAGTGTCCTGGATACTTTTTAGTGTAGATAATTACATCCTGACTTTCCTAAATTTGAGCTTATTTGGAGCCTGAGTCAAAGACAAATGAAATCAATAGAAGGCTTTCCATTGACTTCAATGATTTGGATCAACTCTTATCTTTCACTCTGAAATTGGTGTTTAAGTAGTGTCAGGATATGTTTGACAGTTTTCATATTTTAGTCTTAGGACTGATTGCATTTCATTGATGGGGGAAAATATTGCCATATTTTGTGTATTTTTTATGCAGAACTAACTCTTAGTTTTAAAGGGGAGTTAGAAACATGTATATGGAGTGTAGATAGCTTATAAAGTTTTTAGCATCCTTCTGTCTAAAACATAACCCATGCAATTATAAAAATATATGTTGAAGGTCATTATTTTAAGTAATCTATATTTTATTTTAAGCAATAAAATAACATACAGCTATACACACTCAGAAAACAACAAGCAGCAAGAGTCTAGAACAAATACAGTCCATATACTAACTAGGAGGCTGCCAATAACAACATATTTTACATTGTGAGTGTTTTGAGATCACAACGTTGTTCAGTTAAAATATTGGGATATCTAAAAAAAACCTATAAGAAAATTAAAGAATGAAATAAGTCAGGGCATAATTTCAGTATGCCAGAATAATATATAATAGAGCACAGAGCAGGTCTTTCTGAATAATCTAAGTTGTCTGGTTTAAACATCTCATTCCTATAGCAAACGTCCATGAAGAAAATCCCAATGAACTTAAATTCTACATTTTTACATTAAAACAACTCAACTTCTGCACAAGTAGATTCAGAATGGTTTTACATTTCCTTGTTTATATTATCTGATTATTATTAACAATCTATATTTAGAATGCCACCTGTTATTTTTCTATCAGATCATAGTGTTTTTAGCAATAGAAATAGGGTGAAGATGTTGCTGTTAAATAGATACTATGCTATATGAATTATGTCATTTCTATAGTTATAAAACAACTCGAGAAAATGTACTGTAACAATATGATCTGTGTTAAGATTGATTACCCCAAAAATGCTTTCAGGAGGAAAAACAGAGGGAAAGAGCTTTACATCATAAAAGGTTTGGCTCCGTGAAGAAAAATCTAGCATTTGGTTGTTACATACAATGGTCACTCCATTTGTATATTCATTATGCACATTAAATAATCAAACATATTCCTTCAAGTAAATATGCGTAGCTTAATTTGTTCTGCTGAAGGAGAGACAACTGTCAGAAATGGCAATAAAAGTCACAATGAAATAAGAATACTAGAAAATCCAAGGATTTTAGTATGGTCCATTATTCATTCAATTCCTGGCAGCCTTTATGATTACAAATCACTTGATTGACTAACTAGACATTCACAAAGTGAATTATGAATCAGGTTCATTTTTCGTGGTTGATAGTTGGTACATGTTGTAACTCTTCCACTTTGTGATATATCAAGTTCTTGTAACAGTAATAAGAGATATAATCAGCTCTTTATTTCAGGACAAATAAATTGCCTTTTCAAAAATGAAATGTGGTTGCTAACATTTTAACAGTGTGAAATGTAATTCCTAGTCACTATTTTCTGAACAGAATCTGCTATGGTGACATAGCTTTTAGGTAGTTGACTTTGCTGGAAACTATTTTAAGAGTACTAGACCTTCTGTTCTTGCACACTGACTTCAATGGACATTCTCCACTTGGACTGTAGTCACCCTTTTCTATCTGATTATTGGACCACATTTTGCTGATTTGGGCTCTATTTAGGTACAGATGGGATTCAATAAACTCCCTCTACCAACATCTTTCTCTGCTTCCCTTGCACACAATAGAATTTTTTGAAGAAATATTTTTGTCAATTAATTTGATAGAAAATCCAACTGTGGTATCTTGTTCTTAAAAAAATGATTATTAAAAGACTTCAGATTTACCCCCTTGCTCACCTTCATATCTAGTTTTTAATCCTCTAACAACCTTAATTAAGTGATCAGCAGTTTAAGTTGTTATTAGACAGCTATTATGGGATTATTTTAAAAATTCCTGATTATGTCATGAGTATAGATTATTGACCACTTTATTAATTTAAAAATTGTGATTAAGAGCATAATCCCCAAAAGATATTTATAAAATTTTAACTACTATGCTTCACTTAAGGGAGTAAGAGGCTTAGAAATGAGATTTAAGGAGTTAGTAAGTGGGTAAAATCAAAATTCTTTGAGGTTTAACATTAAGTGGATTAAGTGACTGGCCATAATGGAAGAGGGACAGATCAAAAGTCAAGTTAATGGTTCAAGTGTAAAATTCACTTTCCTTTTGGACCATCTTCATGTCTCCAAGGCAATCAGTGTGGAATGTGATAAGATATAGCAAACAAATAAGGAGAGAAAAAATGGTAGCATTTCAGTGGAGGAAAAGGTGCGGTATATGAAGGGATAAGAAAAAAACCCAACCAAAATGTAGTGTAATTATGCCCAGCATCATTGCATCTACTGCTGCGTGTTGCATCCACTGCATAAGAGCATAAGTGCACAAGAACGGACATACTGGGTCAGACCAAAGGTCCATCTAGCCCAATATCCTGTCTGCCAACAGTGGCAAATACCAGATGCCCCAGATGAAAGAAACTCAACAGGTAATCCTCATGTGATCCCTCTCCTGTCACCCATTTCCAAACAAACAGCATGAGTCTTAGGAAATCAATGAGATTTATTTTATAACCATTCTGTTGAACCCCACAATGAGTCACCTCCTTAGTGATTTTCAGTGAATACCATTGAGTTGGTGATGTGCTGGGTGTCCAACCTCTGTGTGTATGACTTTCTTTCTTCCACTGAGTTCCCTGCACATATAATAAATTGCAGGTTGGTGCTGTTCAGCATGTTAGGAACTTTGCTAGGCTGGTTCTCTTACTGTTTCTATGGTTTGCATTGGTGATTCATTCAGTGCAATTCTTTCACTGAAAGATTCTTTGCTCCTGGCCATTTTCCCATCTGACATCTGTGCTGTGCTGTTCCTTAGCGTACTGTTTCTGCAAACAGGAACTTAGCACTTAGGCATTTGTAACCTGTGCAAGTGGTTTACTATTTCTTTTGCTATTAGCTTATTACAAAATTCTTTGCTTGGTGGCATACAGCCAATGGAAGTATAAGTCCTTTTGGCTGGTTTATTTATACGGCCACATTTGACCTCTTAAAATGTGTAGTCTTCTGAGCCTCTTTTAAATCTTCTTACTGTGCTGGTTCATGGGAATTCCCTTGAACATATAAATCAAACAGCAAAATTTAAACTTAAACAAGATGACTCAGGTCAACCACTTGCTCATTTAAATATCCAAAATCATATGCAATTCTGTTCTCATTTGCAGTTGTGTAAATTTGGAGTAAATCCATGGCTTCTACTAACTTATTGTGGATTTGCACTGGTGTAAAAGAATAGAATTGGTATTTTGCATCTGGTGCAGAAGATACATGCAAGAGTAAAAATCTTCTCCCCCATTCTTCATTTCACACAAAGTACTCCAAATGACATCGCTTGAGAATTCTGCACAGGGAATGAATGCAGAATATTATATAGAAATTTACACTGCAGATACAAGGGAATTTGCTTTAAATTTTTAATCTCTTTTACAATATATTCATAGTCAAGTTTGTATAATTTAAATGAAAATGTGGTGGAAATGGACAATCTCAATGCAGAATTAGTAGTAGCTGTGTTTTATGATGTGCTGTATATCCTCAGTGTAGGCAACATTTCAGACACATGGTGCCAGAGCCATAGGCCTGAGTCTCTGTACTAGTTGCTGAGAGGTGGTCTAAGCCACAGAAATCCCCAGAGTTGTTATTATTCATGCTAGTGAGAACGGCCTTTAGTCTGCTCTAATGTGGACTAAAGGATGAACCGGCACCTGGAAGACTGAGACTGCAAAACTTTTAGATTGGTTGTTTAACTAACATGAGATCTTTGCTGAGTGTGCCAAGTTACTGCAGCCTGAATACCACTCAGTGATGTTAATTTTGTTTTCTGATTTCTAGATCTTAAACAATTCTCCTGGCAATCATTTCTGCTTTGAGTATAACTAATACTCCAAGCATTTTGTTGATATCCAGAATATGTATATCTACCCTGAGAGGTTTTGGAGTATGCATATTATTAAGGTGAGATGTTGATTTATTTTCTTCCACATGGGAAGATGTACAGGGAAGTACTGTAGTATATCCATCAATTGGATTCCTTCTGCGTATCATTTTTGAATAATTTGAACCTGTGCATCCTACCAAGCATCTAGTAGATTTAAAATGTGATTTTTCTGCCGCCTAAACTTCAGTATCAGCACCCAGGTACTGCATAATCCTTGGGTATGGAGCCAGGGGATGAGCAGAGTCTCCTCTGAGAAAAGAAAGGACCAAAAATGGAAAGAATGCCTAGTGGGGATAGGCAGAGGAGAAGGATTTTCTCCTGCCTCTGTCTGGAGTCTATAGATTTCAGTGTAAGGATCTGCTCAGTTTCTCACAATAAATAAAAGGACACATTTTAAGGTGCACAGGTTGTTGGCACATTGAAAAGTGTAGCACAGGCCTTATCTGCTGGAGCAGCTACCCTATTAACACTTACTAGTACGTCTATATTTAAGTTAGTCTTCTGTAGACTTTCTGCTAAACCCACAGTTTTACTGCAAATCCTGCTCCTAATTTGCTTGTTTGTATTATAATTCCAGTTCTGACCCCAGCCTTTTTTTGATTCAACAGTTATTTTTTCCCTCTCCAGCCCTGAACAAGAGGATGGATATACCATAATACGAATGATACAAAAGAGTTAGGGCATTTCTCCCAGTATTTTATGCACCCAAAAAAGGGTCAAATTCAAAGTCAGAGCCCTTTCCACAGATGTATAAAGGAACTTAAACTGGAGTAACCACTACTTTAAGAAGGTATAAAGTTGGGGACCATTCTGCTTTTATCTGTACATCCTCACACCTTTCTGTTAGTTGCTTTTGTTGCTAGGTTTCTTTTCCATTAGTCTTCCCATGGCATGAGTGTCACTAGAAGCCCTAGGCTCTCTTTCACTCAGGTGCTGTGGGCTATTTTCATAGCTGAGTGGTGTTGTACATTATGTGTTGGTATGTGGGTGTGAGTCTAAGGGTCCTATTCTTCAGCTGATATTCATTTCTAACAAATAGCCCCATTGACAGTAAGGATTAAGAATAAGGCTGCAAAATCAGTGTACCTTATTCTTACTTGGTCACAGAGTAGATGTAAATTAACCCTGCCCCCCATTTAGTCAAATAAAGGCTGCTCAGATGCCAACTCCATCCAACTCCAGCTGCAGAATGAGAGTAGGGCTGCTAACCACTGAGCAAGGGTGATGAGGCAAAAATGAGGTGTGGGAGAATTCTGGACGCTGTTCTCCCCTACTTGCCAACCAGCGTAATTGGTTCTTGGGTGCATCCAGAAAAGGGTGAGGTCATTGACTACCTGCCAGTGCAAGGGGAGGAAAGCGTCTCTCCTTCCTGCAGCTCATTTTGGCAGTCTCAGAGATGGATCTGAAGTTCTAATCATCCCTAAGGAAGCATAAGTTGAAGCAATATACACAGGTGGGAGTGGAGGATCGTGCAAGTCACAAGGAATTGACTCCTTTGAACATGGCCCACTGCCTTCAGCATCTGCTACAAGCGGCAACGCTCATTGCTAAAAGAGGAAGCCCAAAGGCCAAATGCAAGCTCAGTTGCACACCTTCATTTGGTGTGTAAGCTGGCCTCTCCAACATTAGGCTTATAATTCTTATTTCAGCAACTACTTTTTCTTTAAGACAGGTAGGTCTCTCCAGGGATAACTTCAGTCGTGTCTGAATTCCATTGTCCTTTTCCTGGCATTTCAGGGACATAACACAGTATTGGACATTACCACATTTCTTTCTTCATTGGAGGATTCGCCCCTGAAGACTTCAGTGCCACGGAGAGAAGGGTAATATTTACTGATCTTCTACTGCTAACACATTCGTTAAAAAGGGATCAAAATGGATTATTTTCATCTTGACATGCAAAGAGCCACATTTTGCCCTTGGCTTGATCTCAGAGTATGAACTGATAATATCAGCAGAAGATGCAGAGGCAGCAGCTTTTTGGATATCAGACATGGCATCCTCAGACGCACATAGTATTCTAACACAAAGAAGTTTTTCTAGCAAGATCTACCCTATAATTTCCCTGGTATTTGACATTATATTCACATTCTACATTCAGATCTGCACAGAATCAGCTGAAAATTATGTGTAACCTATGTTATTTCTTCAGTGATCTATCCTGTACCCTGCCAACATTTCTGGGCACACGGAAAGATACAAAAGGAATAATTTTATCAAGTTAGATTACAAATTTAAATATGAGACAAATATGAGAGTTGCGTGAAGAAATATATTTTATTGGACCGACTTGTAAAGGTGAGAGAGACATGCTTTTGAGATACAAAGTGTAGTTCAAAAATGTGTCTCTCTCACCAACAGAAGTTGGTCCAATAAAAGATACTACCTCACCCACCTTGTCTCTGTAATATCTTGGGACCGACAATAGCTACAACACTGCATACAAGCTTAAATGTAAACATTTCCTAAATCATTTCACAAGATCAGAAGCAGGAAAGATTTTAAAAAATCATCTTGAAATGTTTATGGAGCAATAAATATTGTAGAGTTTTTCACTCATTTTCACTCTATGCAACCCCACTGAACTCAGTTATATGGCATGTAATCCACTACTGGATGTAACTCAGCAGACTAAGCCAATACAAGAGATTGCGTTGTTTACTGTTAATATGAGAGAAAGGATTGAAGGGTCCATTGTGAACCAGAAAAGCACCAGCACTGACTCATTGTTTCTAATTACTAATTATTATTATATCAGCACATGAATCCAGCATTTCTTAGGTCATTGAGAAGAGGCTCAGGGCATGGAGCTGGGAGTGTAGAAGGTGGAGGAGTCAGACCAGAGGCTTGTGGATGTGGGGGGCTCAGAGCAGGGGCTAGAGTGGGGAATGCAGGAGTCAAGGCTGGGTGGGTGAGGAGGGGCTTAAGGCAGGGGGTGGAGACCCAGTAGTCAGGATTGTGGGTGGAGGGTGCAGAAGGCTGGCCAATTCTTAGGGCAGCAGGGGAGCTGTGCCACCTGATCCTGCGTATGGTGACCAGCAACATCCAGAGACCAGCCCCCAGCCAGCCCCTCTCTTACCGGTGTGCCTGCCCTTTTGTGGTCATTCTGCTGTATAAGTGTGCCTGAAAGCAGCCCCCTCCCTTTGTATTTTATGAGAAACAATCATATTGCAAGCAAATTTCATTGTCCTGGCACAACCAAACCCTGACCTTGCTCTAAGTGATGAGACGAGGAAGCTGCATACCAAATTTGGTGATAGCTTTATCATTTAGGAAAAGTTCTTGAACTGATAGTTTCACAGACAGACCAACAGACAGACAGGCAGACACACAAACTCTCTCAAATATATAGTAGGTTTCTTTTCTCAAACAAACAAAACATCAAGCAATTGGATCCTAGCTAGAGTCTCAGCAAAACCTCAGGACTCAAATGAGCAACCCAACAAGTAAACGGTTAGTTAAAATGAAAATTATAACAAAAACAAAAACGCCAGCTTGGATATTGAACTAATAAGGGAAAGAATTTGCATCAAGTGGCTAGCACAATTTTCAACTCTATAAAGGAGAGCAGAGCTGCTGAAATCATCTTGTGCAGCTGAGATAAACACAAATCCACATGCAGATGAATGAAGATTTCTGAACAGTTATGGCTTCCAGTATGACCTTGCATGTTAAAACTTAGCCAGTGTTTATAGCACAAAGTGAATTCCCTCCAGAATAACATTTTAGTAATCCAGCACCAGTTCCAACCTTTCAGCTGTTGCTACTTTTTGGCTTAACTATAGATAGAGTCAGAAGCCCATGGTTTCTGTGACAACACAGGGTCAGATGACCTGGCTATGTCCTTCCAGGCCCATCTGGAGAAATAAATAGGCTGTTTGTAAACAGGACAGCTAAGGGTTCTATCACAACATTGCAAGTTCACAAAAGCATAAGGCAGAAGGGTGAGAAGGCAGAGGTGAGAGGTGAAAGGTGAAAGCCGTCTTGGGCCTGTTCTTCTGTAGAGGACTGGCTGTTGTTCAGACTGAGAACTTGGAAACAATCCACTGGCAGGCTTCTTGCCAGGGGATTTGTTATGGAGAGAGCATGGCTTAGTAAGGATTTTATTACAAAAATTATCTTGATTCTTTTGCTCTCTTATTACAGATGCTCCCCCTCACCTCCTCAATTATTTAAAAAATATATATATATTTGGAAGAAACACACAAATTAATTTCCCACAAATAATACATTCAGGGTGATTTGTTTTTCAGAGAAAGAGGGGCTCAAAAACTACGAATTTATGGTGCAAAATAATAATGGCAAATTATATGGCAAACTGCATTCCGGAAAAATGATTACGCTATTCAAATAATTAAAAGGAAAAAAAAAAGGACTGACTGCTATTTTGGGTCTGTGGCAGATATTTTAGAAGGTTATATATCTTTGTTCCACCTAAGCCACTAGAGATTTATAAGATTTTGTAATTAACGGACCCACCTTCTGGAATAGGCCATTCTTGTACTGGGTGAACAAATTTAAAAATAACACATAAACTTGTAGAACCTTAGGGTATGTCTACACGACAAAGTTAATTTGAACTAACAGTCGTTAGTTCGAATTAACTTTAATAGGGGCTACACATGCAAACCACTTTTTCGAATTTAATTCGAAATAGCTGAGCGCTTAATTCGAACTAGGTAAACCTCATTCTACGAGGAGTAATGCCTAGTTCGAATTAAGTAGTTCGAATTAAGGGCTATGTAGCCAGTTAATTTGTACTAGTTGGAGGCTAGCCCTTTCCAGGTTGCCCTGGTGGCCACTCTGGGCCAAACCAGGGAAACTCTTCTGCCCCCCTCCTGGCCCCGGAGCCCTTAAAGGGGTACGGTGTGCCCGTGCCAGTTGCAAGCCTACCAGCACCCAGCCAGCAGACCCTGCACCTGGCACGAAATGAGCCAGCCACCCGCTGCCACCCAGCCCTACGCCTCTTCCCAGGACCAGACTGGCGGCTCCCAGGAGCCTGCCCGGGGGCGCAAAAGGCGGGCGCCCGCCTGGTCAAGTGCGGAGATCGTGGACCTCATCGAGGTTTGGGGGGAACACTAGGCACAGGAATGCGGCCATCTACAGCCGCATGGCTGCCAGCCTGGCCACCAGAGGCCACATGCGGACCCAGGAGCAGGTTTGCATGAAAATCAAGTTGGTCCAGTGGGACCTCCAACCCTGAGCCATGAGTTTAGAACATAAGAACATAAAAACGGCCGTACTGGGTCAGACCAAGGTCCATCTAGCCCAGTAGCCTGTCTACCGACAGCGGCCAGCACCAGGTACCCTGGAGGGGGTGGACTGAAGACAATAACCAAGTGATTTGTCTCATGCCATCCATCTCCAGCCTTCCACAAATAGAGGCCAGGGACACCATTCCTACCCCCTGGCTAATAGCACTCCATGGACCCAACCTCCAAGAATTTATCTAACTTCTCTATAAACTCTGTTATAGTTCTAGCCTTCACAGCCTCCTGTGGCAAGGAGTTCCACAGGTTGACTATTTGCTTTGTGAAGAAGAACTTTCTGTTATTAGTTTGAAGGCTGCTACCCATTCATTTCATTCGGTGTCCTCTAGTCCTTATAATATGGGAACTAAGGAATAACTTTTCTTTATTCACCCGCTCCACACGACTCATGATTTTATATACCTCTATTATATCCCCCCTTAGTCTCCTCTTTTCCAAACTGAAAAGTCCCAGTCACTTTAGCCTCTCTTCATATGGGACCTGTTCCAAACCCCTAATCATTTTAGTTACCCTTTTCTTAACCCTTTCCAAGGCCAATATATCTTTTTTGAGGTGAGGAGACCACAGCTGTACACAGTACTCAAGATGTGGACATACCATAGTTTTATATTTCTCCTCCTCCTTTTCCCCCTGGCTTTCCCCTTCCAGCTCCCTCCTCCCAGGTTTCCTGCTCCCCTCTCCTACCCTCTCTCTTCGCCTCTCCTACCTCCTTTTCCCAGTCTCCCCAGAGGTTAATCCCCTCCCACCAGTTTTGTTAAATAGAGTTTCTATTTTTGAACACACATGTCCTTTATTTTTTACATCAGGAAGGGGGGCTAGGGAGGGGTAAGTGGAAGGAGGTGAGGACGGAATGGGGCACGAGCCCAATAGGGAGGACTGGGGTGGCTCTGTGGGCTCCTCGGGGTGGAAGCTCTCCTGCAGGGCCTCCTGGATCCTGACAGCCCCCCGATGAACCCCCCCGGATGGCAGCTTTTGGCAAGTGCAATTGGGCTGATGGCCGAGTGCTGTGATGTGCTGAGTGTGGGCACTCAGGGCACTCCAAGACAGGACTGCTTTGCTGTCCCTCATTGAGATAGACAAGCAAGCGGGGAACCCTGAGAATTGTCTGTCCGGGCTGGGGGTAGGGTCTGAGGGTAGCACAGCCCTCGGCTAGCCTGAGGCAGCAGCTCCACACTCTAAGTCCTAACCTGATGCCCTGCTGGCACTGGTTCCAGCCAGCCTTAACTTCGGTTCAGGGTCCACTCAATGTGGACATGCTATTTCGAATTAGCAAAACGCTGATTCGAATTAGTTTTTGGGTCTAGATGTGTTATTTCGAATTAGCTTATTTCGAATTAACTAATTCGAAATAAGTTAGTTCGAGTTAGCACTGTAGTGTAGACATACCCTTAGAGACTAACAAAACATGTAGCTGGTATCATGAGCTTTCAGGGGCACAACCCACTTCTTCAGATGATTGAAGTTAAAAAGGGGTCCAGAGGCCAAATAAATAGCAGAGAAAGAGAGGGGATGGGATTGGAAAGAGAAGAAAAAAAAATATTGTCAATTAGAGCGTCTATGGTAAATGAGGCTGATAGAGTGAGTTCTAATTATTCTAAGTATCTGGTGCTTGGCTTTTTATGTCATTAGGGTATGGAACATAGTAGGCCATCCAGTTAAAGTCTTTATTTAAACCTCTGTTGCAGGTGTTCTACCTTGTAAATGAAATCAAGTTCTGCAGCTTCTCTTTCCAGCTGATTTTTGAAATTGCCTTGCAATAATATTGTCACTTTTAGATCCATTAGTGAGTGCCCAGGCAAGTTAAAATGTTTCCCAGCAGGTTTCTGTGTTATAATTTCGAATATCAGATTTGTGTCCTTTGTGTCCTTTGTCGTAGAGACTCTCCAGTTTGGCCAATATATATGGCAGAGGGACATTGCTAGCATAGATCCCATTGGTGGATATGCAGTTATATGAGCCTTTGATGTGGTGGCTGATGTGGTTAGGTGATGTGATGATGTCGCTTGTACAGATGTGTGGATAGAGTTGACACCGGAGCTGACTGCAGGGGTGGGTTCCTGGATGAGTATGATGGAGGTATGCTGCATGGTTGCTGGAGAGAATTTGTTTGTGGTTAGGGGGGTTGTCTATAAGCAAGGATTGGCCTGTTCCCCAAGGCCTATGAGAGTGAAGGATCATTTTCCAGGATAGGTTGTAGATTGTTAATAATGCGCTGGAGGGGTTTAAGTTGAGGCTGTAGTAGGTGACCAGTGGTGTTCTGTTTTCTTTGTTGGGCATACCTTGAAGAAGCTGATGCCTTGGTACTTGTCTGGCTCTGTCATCTGTTTTTTCACTTCTCCAGGTGGGTATTTAAATTTTAAGAATGCTTGATATCGATCCTGTAGGTGTTGTCTCTGTCTGTGGGAGTGGAGCAAATCCGGTTGTATCTTAGAGCCTGGCTGTAAACAAATGATGGGGGAATGTGTCTTGGATGGAAGCTAGAGGCATGTAGGTAAGTGTAACAGTCAGTAGGTTTCTGGTAGAAGATAGTGGAAATGTAGCCGTTGTGTAATTGTATTGTAGTGTCAAGGAAGTGGATCTCTTGTGAGGACTGGTCCAGGCTGAAGTTGATGGTAGAGCGGAAGTTGTTGAAATCCCTGTGGAATTCTTCAAGGGTCTACTTCCCGTGGGTCCATATGATGAAAATGTCGTCAATGTAACACAAGTAGAGTTAAGGTGCTAGGGGACAAGAGCTGAGGAAACGTTGTTCGAGATCACCCATAAAGATGTTGGCATGTTCTGGGGCCATGAGGGTGCCCATAGCTCTGCCGTAGACTTGAAGATATAAATTGTCCCCAAATTGGAAATAGTTGTGAGTGAGGACAAATCACAGAGCTTCATAACCAGGTATGCAGTGGTGTCATCAGGGATAGTGTTCCTGAAACTGTTATAGTGGGTGGTAAGTCTTGGTGTATATTAAAATGCAGGAAGTGCTTTACATCACAAAAGTTTATATGTCTTTTTAGAGTAGTTTTTTTGTGCTTAGAAGTATATCAACAAATTATTGACCATAATATCTGGGCCTGGATCAGGCCTGATGAGGTGAGAGTGGGAGCTAAAAAAGTGTATGTCACCCTTGCTCTCCTGTGATCCCTCAAGGCGGCTTTAATTTATGCCAGAAGTGACACTACCGGGGTCTGGTGTACTACCCAGGGATTGCTGGAGTATTCTAGCCACACTGCCAACATGGCCCCCAATTCCTTCCACTGACAAAGCCTTGGAGTAGTAGCTACACCATTTTTAACATAACTCAGGCCAGGTCTACACTAAGCCAGAAATTCAACTTAAGATATGCAACTACAGCTACAAGAATCACTTAGCTGGAGTTGATGTTTCTTAAACTAAATTTCTGGGGCAGCCCCACTGCAGGAGGTCAATGGGAGAAACTTCCCTTACTCCTTGCAACTCTGAGGCATACTGAGGTGAGCAGGGGGCCCCTCAGCATTCGATTTAACAGGCCCGTACTGGAGTCCCTAAATTGAACTCTGGAAGAATGACTTCTAGAGTGTTGATCTTTCTGGAAGTATAGGCAAGGTTTTAGTGATTCCCCTACCGGTTTGGTTGTGTAAGATAGATACACCACTATGATCTTGCAAAGATGGAAGAGCCTAGAGCCCCAGAGCTCGGGATCCAATCTGAGCCCAGATGTTTATACAGTGTCAGTCAGTGTGATTCAAAGGATTAATTTGCAATCAATGTCTTCTTCATAAATACATAGGTCTCTACTTCTGTGGAACAAGTTGCATCATTGACACTCATATCCCATTATGAAGTACTCTAGTAGATTCTCCAGGAGAGTTGAGATTGTGGTTAATTATGGGAAAAATAAAAATGTGTGCTGGTAGGATACTGGGACAGATGGACCTTTGGGCTGATCCAGCATGGCCATTCTTAGGTTTTGCAAGTAACACTCCTTGTAACACTCTAATTCATAGACATAGCACCATTAGAAAGAGATGGTGCTTATTAAATTGAAGTTATTCAGGCACGTTTTCTACATACCTAGCATGGGAGAATTATGGACTGAGCAGATGACTGGGATTTAGATGTTCCCAAGATCCATTTCTGGCTCAGACACAGACTCTGAAGTCTGGATCACTGGCTCCATCTCCACATGGGCCAGTTTACTAAGAATTTCCCATGATTTCTAACACCAGTATTAGAGTACGAGAGCTTTGGTGTATGCATGTGCATTTAAAAACAATACATCAAACATTGCTTTGGAACAGGTGTAATCTTATATAGATAGGGGCTTATGCCCATTTTACTTAGACACAGAGTTTAATAATGCATCCTTTCCTCCCTCCGAGGAGGGAGGTCATTTAATATTCCTAAGATGTTTTGAAGATTAAAGTGCTACATGTTATTACAAGTGCAAAGAATGTATATTTTTCTCTACCACCCATCTTTTCAATTCAAGTTATTTCCATCAAAGGAGTTCAGTTTCACCATGGGGGAAGGAAGGTGGGGGAAAATAAAAATCAAAGAAAAAGGGATGGGCAGCCTTGGTTCAGATATGTGAAACATGAATTATTAAGCCAATAAATATATTTTCCTTATGGAATAATGACATTTCTTTTGATTTTTAAATACAGCTGTGCAGAGACCATCCTATTCACAGACTACCTCATGGAACCGAAGAACAACGTTCATTAGAAAGGATAACAGGAAGTCATCTGTATCTTCTTCTCTCCCTCCTACCCCTTGCAGTTTCTCATCTCAACAGGCACACAGGTAAACATACTTCTTGTGCATGACAATGTATCTCAAAGATACAGGCTAAACCTCCATAGTCTGTCATGCTCTGGTCCAGCTACATCCGTGGGCTGGCATAATTTTAGTTAGCCGAATGTCCATTAATCATGGGATGGCTAACTTTCTCACGGTCGCATAAAGTTTGTTTGCAACCATCAGTCCTGGCTGTTTGTGTTCAGTGCTGTTATTTAGCTTTGATTTATTCCTAAATGTTTTCTAAGAGCCAAATAAGCAGTGGAAGTACTAGTAATGCTGCTAGATTGAGTTCCTGTGGTCTGGCAAATTCTCTGGTTCGGCACAGATCAGGTCCTGATGGTGCTAGGCTAGAAAGGTTCAATCTGTGAGGGTATGTCTACACTACCACCCTAGTTCGAACTAGGGTGGTTAATGTAGTCAATCGAAGTTGCAAATGAAGCCTGGGATTTAAATATCCCAGGCTTCAAGAAAGTGATTAACATTACCATGATACAGCTGAGTGGAACAGTGATATATATTCTATTTAGGATGATCTAATCTTGCAGGGTCCTAATTTCTACTACAGGTATTGTTTTAGGTTTTTTATAGTTGTTGTTTGTGTTTTGGGTTATTTTTTAATGAGAAGACTGGTGTTTTTCCTGACCTGATTGGAAAGACTAAGAATAAAATAAGGGTTAAGAGCAACTAAGAAATACAGTTTGTCTTAGGGTATGTCTACACTACCACCCTAGTTCGAACTAGGGTGGTAGTGTAGACATACCCTAAGACAAACTGTATTTCTTAGTTGCTCTTAACCCTTATTTTATTCTTAGTCTTTCCAATCAGGTCAGGAAAAACACCAGTCTTCTCATTAAAAAATAACCCAAAACACAAACAACAACTATAAAAAACCTAAAACAATACCTGTAGTAGAAATTAGGACCCTGCAAGATTAGATCATCCTAAATAGAATATATATCACTGTTCCACTCAGCTGTATCATGGTAATGTTAATCACTTTCTTGTGAAACTTCGGATATTAGCCACTGCTGGAATCATATCACCATACTTGATGCACCAATGTATTCAGCTGGTATGGAAAATTCTAAGTTCCTATTACCTTTAAAGAAGAGCAGAAGGAGTATCGCGCCAGCAATGTGTGTGGGATGTGTGTGTTTAATATGGCCTCCTACCTCTATTGCCTGGGAATGCTTCACAAATTTTAGGTAATGTACACTGCCCAGAACAGCAGAGCTGCCTGTGTATGTGTGTGATGTACATACATCTGCACCTGTTAAAGATGCAGCACAAATTGCTGCACTGTGAATTCCTATAGCCTACTAGTGCCTCTGGCAGGCACTGTTTTCTCTTTTGCCTCTCAGTGTGGGCTGAGGCTTACAAAAATGATTAGAGGAACTGAGACTTCTATCTTAGGAGAGATGGAGAAGATTGGAACTGCTCAATTTAGAGAGATCAGCCAAAGGGGAAATGGTAGAGATATACAAGATAGTGGACAATATTGAGAAAGCAAGTTGGGTTTTCATATTTACCTGCTCAAGATGTTATTTAATGAAACAGAAAGGCAACAAGTGTAAAATGGATAACAGGGAACATATATACTGAGCGCATAATTAACCTCTTAAACTTATTGCCACTAGATATAACAGAGATCAAGAGATTAGTAGGATTCAAAAAAAGAATTAGGCATTTACATGGAAAATTAAACCTTCCACAGTTTCATTAGATAGGGCACGACGTCTCAAACTCTTTGATAGCATAGACTAAGCTCTAAAACTCTTTGATAAAATAGATTACATTTTAATGAATACTATCATGGACCAACATCCCTCCTGTTTGAAATAACATGAGGCATCTGTCCCTCTCCCATATGTGACCTTTAGCTAAAAAGACAGCTAAAATGTAATATTATACTTTTGTATAATAAGACCACTACGTATATATCATCCCTGTGGCAAGCTAAAAAGACAGCTAAAATGTAATATTATACTTTTGTATAATAAGACCACTACTTGGCAAGCAATTTTTAAATAGTATAACTGTAAAATTATATACAGTATTTTCACTGTCTTTTAATTAAATTGAGCATGTGTAAGTGAGGAGGAGCCATGGCCTGTAATCAGCCTGCTCACTAAGATCCTGAGACCACTGTTAGTAGTCCTTTAAATAAAGTATAACATACATCAGATAGTAATTGGACATCTCCCTAAAATATTTTCACATCTGCCGAGAGAGACTCTCTAAACTATCTGAAGTTTTTAGAAGTGCCCTCTATTTCTGTGGACTTAGTTTTGCACCATCAATTAATTTTGAGGATAGATGGTCTCAAGTAGAGATCTACCATCTTCTCTGTGTGAGCAAACCAGGTAGCTAGCTCTTCAATAGTTGTTACTATTTCCACCCCCAATTAATTACTGGTACAAAATTGTGGCCACAAAATTACTGAAGGGCACTTCTGGAAGTTAAGCCAAGAAAGGAGAGTCTTAACCAACAATGGGCCTAGTACTGTACAGCCAAATAAGAGACATGTATAGTCCGCATTTCAGTTTAGGCATAGAAAATACTTGGTACTCTTTAGGACAAAAGATGCCTTATTGATGTAAGGTATCTAATAAGATCTGGTGCAAGTTACACTCAGGAAACATTTCTTGTAGACACTAACATATGAATATCTAGTGGCTGTGTATTTCTTGTGGAAATACTATGCTGCTCCCATTCGGGCAAAAGTTCTTTTGCGCAAAGCTTTTGCGCAAAAGGGCCAGTGTAGACAGCTCAGATTTGTTTTGCGCAAAAAAGCCCCAATCGTGAAAATGTCGATTGGGGCTTTTTTGCGGAAAAGTGCGTCTAGATTGGCACGGACGCTTTTTCACAAAATGTGCTTTTGTGGAAAAGCGTCTGTGCCAATCTAAAAAGTGTCCTTGCCAATCTAGATGCTCTTTTCCGCAAATGCTTTTAACAGAAAACTTTTCCATTAAAAGCATTTGCGGAAAATCATGCCAGTCTAGACGTAGCCAGTGTGTTGAACTAAAAACATCCTACATAGGGTGAAGTAAAACCCTGTTTTGGGGACTTGAAACACAGGCATGTGTTTCCTTCATGTTTTTTTGGACAAGTAGCTTAGTATAACTGATTTGTTAATCTACATTTTCACTGTGGCTGCGTCTAGACTGGTAAGTTTTTCCGCAAAAGCACTTGCTTTTGCAGAAAAACTTGCCAGCTGTCTACACTGACCGCTTGAATTTCCGCAAGAACACCGACGATCTCATGTAAGATTGTCAGTGTTCTTGCGGAAATGCTATGCTGCTCCCATTTGGGCAAAAGCCCTCTTGCGCAAATGCTTTTGCGCAAGAGGGCCAGTGTAGACAACGCGGTATTGTTTTGTGCAAAAAAGCCCGGATCGCGAAAATGGCAATCGGGGCTTTCTTGCGCAAAACCGCATCTAGATTGGCACGGACGCTTTTCCGCCAAAAGTGCTTTTCTGTTAAAAGCATTTGCGGAAAATCATGCCAGTCTAGACGTAGCCTGTATGTTTCAATCAGAGAGCAAAATTAAGAACACCAGAGAAGGAAGGGTAAGAAAATGCCACGCTTCATGTTTCGGGATAAAATCATTAGTTCTTGGAAGAGAAAGAGAAAACCCTGAACTCTGGTAAATAAGGATGGACTGATTTTCAAATAGTTTCTTTTTTATTGTGTTTTTTGGGGGATGATTTAGGTCTACTTGGACCATAAAACTGGAACAGAACTATTAAATCATGTAAATGTAGAAGCAAGTCACTGATGTATGGTATATCAGAGCAGATTAGAATTGAACTTAAATTGCCTCTTGCTCTGTGGTCTCCTCTTCCTGGCCTGTGCCAAAGAAAATCTCCATCTCTTCTGTGTCTCAAGAAATGGTGAGAGCTCTATTCTGTCTCCCAAAAAATGGAGAACTCCTTCTCTCTTCTGAATGATACTACTTCTCACCCACCTGCCCTCTGTAGTTTGTGCCAGCTTTCTATCTGCGTCCTCTACCATTTTTTTCCCCAAGAGAAGGAGATGTGAAAGCTTTCTGTTTCCTCTTGTTTGTCCTTTGGGATGGAGGCATCATGTGCATCCACACAGAAGGAAGTTGTTTGAACATCTCCTCTTGTCCCCTGGGAGAGTGAACTCTAATCTCGACAACCCCTTTAACTGCAAACTTTGTCCCCAGTGGCTCCCTCTGAAGTTTTTATCCTTCGACCATGTTAACCTGCCTCTCCTCTGTCCCTGAGGATATTCACTCTGTGACTCCCATCCAAATAGCAGCCTTCTGTCTCTTCTATGTCAGTCCTGGGAAATCAATTTGTGTAAGTGTCTGTTAGAAGAAATCCTTTTTTCTTAGAGATATAATAATTATAATAATCCCCCCTATTCTTCTCACTCACTTACCCAAAGCTATTCACCAACTGAATCTTTCTCACCCCATCTTTGCCTTCCTCCTTCTGGATCTCTCTAGAGTCATACTGAATTGCTCAATGTACCCTTGTGGACTGAATACTCATCTGAACCTTCTTGTGTGATGGGAAACTGCCTCCATCTTTTACTGTGCTCCATGCTACCCAACCCAAATGTTTCTCCAGGCTCTGCTATTATCAAGAAGGTGGTGATGAGGGCAGGGGACTGGACTTGATGACCTCTTGAGGTCCCTTCCTGTTCTAGTGTTCTATGATTCTATGTTGCAATCAGTGTGAGGAGACCAAACAGGATAGTAGGCCTGCAATGTATCTATTATAATACTGGTTTGGGAGTTTAAACAGATTTTTAATTACAACTTTGTGATGATCTTTCAAAAAATTCTTAGTTCACTTGTGCAATCAGAAAAATCACTAAGTCTTCTCCTCAAGTGCAGAGTAACTACCGCATGATCTTTACTTTAGGACTGCATGATTCTTGGATGTTTTGACTGCCCTCAACTCTCACTGAAGCAAATGGGAGTGAGGATGCTCAACACTTTGTGTGATCAGAACCGTAGGGAGGCTCTTGGTT